TTGTGATGACAGAAACCTTCATGCTTAACCAACTATAAATCATATTCCCAGGCAATCTTCAGCATAAAGCTTTCTAAAATGTATATAAATTAATTAAATGTGGCCATACAACCATCTTTTTAGAGATTCCCAGAAGAGGGAATTGAATAAGAGGAACAGGATTCTATGGGATCCAGAAGAAAGAGATTAGAGTGAGTCAGGACTCCCTTGATTGTAAGTGACAGAAACCCAACTCACATTAGTGTACATGACTGGAAAGTAATCAGAGAATCTTCCAGAATCCAAGGAAGAGATGACCAGCTAAACCTTAGCAGGGCCTTGGGGTGAACCAGGCCCCCCATTTCCTCTTTTAGCACATCCATCTCATCCTCTTCTCTGGCTTCTTCTGCCCAGGAATGAGGAATGCAGCTCCCACACTATCCACCGCTTTTACCAAAAGAAATGGACTGACCGTCCTGGAAAGGACTCTAATTGGGCCAATTGGGGTTGTGTGCCCACCCCCGAGCCAATCAGCTGTGGCCAGGAGTTGGGCACTATGATTGACCCCTGCCACATCAGCTTTGGCAGCCCCCTCCCCGCCCCCCTCTAGTTGGGCATGGTAGAGTTATCAGAAGGGAGGGAGCATGGTCCTTGAATCAGATTGGCCTGAGTTCTCAGACCAGCCTAAGTTTAAGTCCTCCTCTTCCAGCGATGAGCTGTGTGACATTGGGCAAGTTCCTCACCTCTCAGAGCCTCAGTTTCCTCCCCTGCAACATGGTGATGATAATATCTAACTTCTAAGATGGTGGGAAAGGTCTAAGGGCCACCCAGCACACCACACCCAGCAACTGAGGGTGCTTCCTGAACCCATACCAGTCCAAATGTGCACCTCCCATCACAAAGTGGGGAGGGCTTTGTGAGAAGGAAAAGTTGGGTTTTAAAGACATTGAAATGTGATAAAAAGAACAAATCATTTTTTGGATGGCTGGTTTATTTAGGCGTGGGAGAAAAGAACCAGAAAACTATATACCATGCAAACAGATCTTAGGCACAGTGTCTGGCAAAGAGGAAGCATCCCATAAATACAGTCATAGTAGTAAGTATATAGTAATAGTAATTCGCAGTAATAAGAAACTGGTAGGAGGCATGTGATGAGTGGAAGTACCCAGAACAAGGTCAGATACTGAAAGAGATCCCTTTGACATCACTGCCACCCAGCAGAGGGGACCATGGAAAATGTAGGACATGGCCCAGCTGATGGAGGGCTGTCTTGCTGAAGCGGGGGGCGGAGGGGGGCAGACCTGAGGGTCCAGGAACAGGCACTCACAGTGGCCAAGAAACCAAATCTCAGGGCAGGAAGGGCCTCCAGAGAATACTCACTAGGGAAATATTAAAGCCAGCCCTGGTCTCCTCGGCCAAAGCCCAGCTTCCAGCTGTCCCTCAAGGTGGGATGCGCTGCAGAGACAACTTCCATTTGAAGAAAGTTTACTGTGGTTTGAGGTTCTTTAAAAACAACTGATCTAATCCTGTGCACTCACTGCAGTTGGGGAAACTGAGCCTGAAGAAAGCCCCACACTGGGCTTAGCCGGAGGTGCAATGTTGTAACTGAAACTGAGGTTCAGCTGCCTGCTGACAGTTGAGACGGGTGCTGGTGAAAAAGGAAAGAGGTTTATTCAAGTGCCAGCCATCTGAGAAGATGGGGGACTCTTGTCGCAAAGCCCATCTTCCCATTTCAGCGCAGGGAGACATTTTTATTAGGAGGGAGAGGGAAAGAAGAACAAAGAGATCAAGGGGAGGGGGTTGAAATGTTCTCTGCATGCAGGCCAGCACAGTCTGTTCCGATAAGGATCTCAAAACTGGTCAAGTGATGATCCAGTCTTCGTCATCCTAGTTCTACATTATCCTGGTTCTATCGTTGAAGGTCAGCAAATCTCCTGGAACGGGGATGACTGAAGGTCAGAGTCTGTATCTCCTGAAGTTAGTTCCTAGGATTCTTATACAAACACGCTGTTTATCTACAAGCTATACGTATTAGTCAGAGTCAGCATTTACAGAAACAATGTCACAAGAATAGTGGGGCGGGTTCTGATTCCTCACTGTTACAATCTGAGCTGCAGATCCTGTCTCAGGTCAAGCCTGTCACTGTCGATGAGTACCTACTAGTGGGAAAAGCACCTACTGTGGGCCAGGGTCCCCCAGGGAGGTGCTTGGGTGCTGTCTGGTGTTTTGGACTCTGGGGCAGGTAAACAGGGAGGGACCAGCTGGGCCAGTCAGAGTTCTGCCGGACTGAGCTGGCAAAGGGAAACTCCTCCCCAGAAACTGGCAGCAAGGCCCCTCCCTGTGGCAGGAGATGGGGGCTCTCTGCAGGGCCAGGTCATCGCTGGCTTTGTATCACTTGCCAGGGAAGAAGCAGATTTCTTAGAGGAAGCATCCTGAAGGACTCCAGAGACTCATCTCTCCGCTGGGGGCGGGGAGAAGCTGTCAGAAGCTGCCCAGTGTTTATTAATCATTTATTCCATTCTAGGCATTGTGCCAAGTGCTATAAGTATGGACACATTCAATCATTTCACAATCCATGAAATGGGCACTGTTAATAAGCCCGGCTTACAAAGGAGGAGACTAAGGCAGGGAGAGGTGAAGCCACTCAGCTGGTGAGGGGTAAGGCCAGGATTTGAGCCCACAGGCTAACTAGAGAGTCTCTACTTTAAAGGGGGGAAAAACAACTACTTTATTAAAACAAAAATTGCAGGAATAATAGAGAATTTCCATATGTTCTCCCAGATTCCCCAATTGTTAATATTTTATCACATTTTGGTATCTATCTATCTTTGTTCTTACCCATTTGAGAATAAATTGAAGACATGATACCTCCTTATTTAGAAATAGTCTGGTGGGTAAAATGAAGGACATTGTCTTACCTGACCACAGGACAAGGACCAAAGTCAGGAAATTAACATTGACAGGATACTATTATCTAATCTACAGACCTTATTCATATTTTACAATTATCTTTAAAATGTCCTTATAGCAAAAGGAAATCCTGGATCACACATTGCAGTTCGTTGTCATATCTCCTTAACTCCTTTAATCTGGAACAGTTCCCTAGTCTTTCCTTGTCTTTCATGATGTTGCCAATTTTTTTAGCATACAGTCCAATTCTGTAGAACTTCTCTCAATTTAAATTTGTCAGGTGTTTCTTTACAATGAGATTCATTGTCTGAATGTTGGCAGGAATGCCCACAGAAGTGAAGCTCTGTCCTTCTCAGGGCATCACTCAGGAGAAAGATGTGTCAATTCGTCCCTGACTGTTGACATTAACTTTGTTTACTTAGTTAAAGATGGTATCTGCCGGGTTCCTCCACTGCAGTTACTATCTTTCCATGTGTCATTTATAATTGCCTGGGGGACAATACTTTGAAACTACGTAAAGATGATGTTTCTCATCAGAATTTTCCTATCCATTGATGATTCTCATTAGCATTCTCATTAGAATTTATTAATGGTCCAACTCCATCATTCCTTCTACTGGAAGGAGTAGCTTTCCCTTATCTGTATTCAGTCATTTATATTAGTATGGGCTCATGGCTTCTCGTCTTATTCAATAGGTTATAATCTGTCGTTACTGTAATTTCTTTTGATGCTCTAATTGTCCCAGATTTGGCCATTTAAAACCCGCTTCAAGCCAGAAAGCTCCCACTTTCAAATATGACATTGCACCCATGTTCCTTGACCTTGACCAAAAAGGGTTCAAACCCAAATCCAGGTTATATGCCCTGATCAGGAATCAAGCCTGCAATCTTTCGGTGCACAGCACAACACTCAACCAACTGAGCCACTCCGGCTGGGCTTTATATAACCTTAATAACTCTCTAAGCATTTCCTCAGGTGAGGATTAAAAAAGAAGAAGAAAAAAATAGTTATATAAAAACAAAGTTTACAGGTCGGGGCTCCTTTAGCCAGAGAGTCAGGAAAATTCTCTGTGGGGTAGTGATATCTGAGCTGACCTGAAAGATGAGAAAGAGCGGACAGTGAATAGAAGAGGAAACAGCAAGTGCAAAGGGCCTGTAGCAGGAACGAGCTGGGTGTGTTTGAGGAACAGTAAGAAGGGCAGTGGCTGAGGAGTAGTGGGGAGGCCAGAGGGGCAGGAGGTGAAGCTGGAGAGTTGGTGAGAGGCCAGAAGGCTTAGGGCCCTGTAGGCCAAAGGGAGGAGTAAAGTTTATATTCTAAATGCACAGGAGGCTAGAGAGAGGGTGGGAGTGTACACAGCAATCTGATCTTTGCTTTGAGAAAAGCATTGTCTGGTGTGTGAAGAAAACCTTTAGGAACAAAGGGGGGAGGCTTTCAGGAGGCTGCTGCCATTGTGCCGGGAAGTTGATGGTGTCTGGACCATGTGGTAGGACTGGGGGTGGGGAGAAGCCAGATGCAGAAGGGTGTTGGATGTGGAACCAGGCTGATTCGGGATGTAGGGAGGAAGGGAGAAAGAGGGATGCAGCAGGGGTCCTAGGATGGGGCTTGAACAACGGAGATGGGGAGACTGGGGGTGTGGGTTCCGGGGTAGGGCTGATGACCAGGAGGTGGATTTGGGCTGTGTAGGGTTTGCAGTCCCCACCTGGCACCCACGTGGAGGCACGCAGTGGGCACTTGGATATGAGTCTGGAACTCAGAGAATGTGTTCGCTCTAGAAATACAAATTTGGAGCTCATGGGCATATGGACGGCATTTTAAATCACGGGACTGGATGAGATCATCATGGCAGAAGGTGTAGGTCGAAAGGAGAAGACACTCAGGACTGTCGACTGTAAAATGAGCCAAATGACACCTTCACTCGCGAGGTGTCACGTGAACGCAACCAGCCTAATAGGAACTGAGAACCCCGGGGCGGGCCCGGCGTGTGGGCGGGGCCGGAGGGGGCGGGGAATGGGCGGGGCCGAGAGGCCCGGAGGCCGCTCAGGGGGCGAGAGGGGCGGCCAGGGAGGTGACGTCACCGCATGACTGGGTTTTTATGAATGAAAGGAATCCTGTGAGTGAGTAATTCCGGGAAGCTCGCCTTACAACTTCGCGCGGCCTCCTGCGCCGCCCGCCCCACAACAAAACTCGGCGCGTCGCTTTCGGGAGCAGGAGCCGGGCTCGGAGCAACCGCCGGTCAGGACCGGAGGGGAGACGGACCGGGGAGCGGGCTGGGACAGCAGCCCGGACGGCAGCGAGACCCGCGCGTGCCAGCGGCGCCAGGCGAAGCGGGCCCGAGGAGGGGTGAGGAACGCGGGTCTGGGGCGGGAACGGGGGCGCGGGGCTCCGAGGCAGCAGGGTTCGCGCACCCCGAGAATGCGCCTGGGGCGGGGCGCCAGGGCCGGCGCTGTCGGTGCTCTGTGTCCCCACCGCCGGTCGGCTGACGGGAGGAGGGGCAGAGTTCCAGGGACCAAGTCGGGGCCGAAGCGAGCTTGGCGGGGTGCTGGGGTGCTGGGCTCCTGGGGGCGCCGGCCGGGAGGCGGCGAAGCCCGGCAGGAAGGGACTGGGGGGCTGGCTCGCGTCAGCGTCCACCCAGGAGGGCGGGGGGGGCGCAGTGTGTGCACTTACGTGACTCGGTGAGAACATTCCCTGGACGGGCGCCCGCAGCCGGGCGTGCGCGGTTTGTTTACGTCCTAGGGCGGGCGGCGAGTGCGTGTGTGTTCCCTGGCCCGCGTCCGAGCGTCCTGCCCGCTGGTGCGCGCGGGGTGTGCCGTGGAGAGAGAGAGAGAGAGAGAGAGAGAGAGAGAGAGAGAGAGAGAGAGAGAGAGACCACCCCGGTGAGGACCCTGGGCCTGTGTGCCCGCGGTGCGTACCTGGGAAAGATGTGCCCGACGAGGAAATGCGGAATAGGGACTTGAACTAGGGAAGCGGCCCCATCGTGGTCACACGGTGTCCGGGAATTCTTGCCCTGCTGTCCCCTTCCCACCAGCCAGCGACCCTGCTCTTCCCCGGAGTTTCCCAGGGCCGGGCCACGTGATCTCGGTGTTTGTCCCCCTCCCTGAGCTGGCGGCTGCAGCCACAGGGTGGGGCACAGTGTAAAGACCCACCCGGCAGGGCTGGGGAGGGGGGGGAGGGGGCCCCTCCTTCCTCCAGGACCCTGGTGGACTGGCACAACTCAGGTCCGTATCCGGCTACTTGGGGCAGGCAGACCCTCACTCTCCTTCATCCCCAGCCATCCCTTCAGCCTCGGGAGGAAGTGGAAGGGCCAGAACACCCCTAGCGAAGTGGGGCGGTAGGAAGGGATCCAGGCTTCCTCTGTTTGGTGGGACTCTGGCTGGCCGGGGTTCTGGAGCTGGTACTGCTGGGCCTGGGAGGGTGAGACCGGAGGAAGGGGTGGGGTTGGTTTCTGTCCTGCCCGTGGTTTCAGTTACATGTGGGACTAGTCAGACATACCTGCTGATTGCCGGACCTGAGGAGCTAGTTGAGGGCCCGGGCCAGCTGGAGTTCCCAGAGTCCTCCCCCTGGGGGGTGGGAGGGGGGGCATGGTCAACAGGGAGTGGAAGAGGTGGTCTTGGTGTGTGAAGGGTTGCTGTGTGAGGGTGGGGCCCAAGCCTGCCCTCAGCCCCTGTATCAGCCCTGCGGGAAGCGTCCCTCTGCCCAGTAGCCTGAAGGATGGGCTGGGGGCTTGGGGTTCCTTGGTCCTATTCTGCCCTCCATTCTTCCCACCCAGGGGGCTACAGAATCATGGGGGAGGGGGATCCACTGAGCTTGGGGGATGAGGAACCAGATGATCTTTTAACTTTGCATCTTTGAGCCCTGGTGAGCTCTGCTACCGCAGTGGGGAACCTCAGTGTCTCCATCTGCAGCAGGAACTAGGCAACATCCAGGGGCAGGATGGGGGTGAAATGGGGGAGGCAGGGCAGCCTCTACACACAGCCTATTTTCCAGGGAAACTGTGGGAGAGAAAGCAGAGCCAACGGCCCCCGGCCAAGGCCTGGCATGTCCAGGAATGTGTGGGGTTCCCAGTCAGGCCCGTCCGCAAAGCTGGGCAGGAAACATCCTGAGTAGGTTGGGGGGCCAAGGACGAGGGGAAGCGGCTGGTTGGCTCTTCCAGCGGCTGGTGCACAGCTAGCACCGAAAGGCTTAACCTTCTGCTGGGTCACCCCCGGGTCCTCACTAGGGCCTGGGACCCCACAGGTCTCCCATGGCCCCTGTGCCTCCCTCAGGCCCGATGCTTTCAGCTATGAGCCTGTCATGGGCCAGAGGCTGGGATGAGACCGAGACCAAACCAAATCCAGAACCTGCCCTCTGGGAGCTTACAGTTGACGCGAGGAGACAAAGTTAAAGAGGGAGCCACCAAACTAAATACAAAACCCCAGGGGAGCTGGGTGGTATGAGGGGGAAGTCTGTGGTTTGCAAGTGTATAGTACGAAGGCACGCCTCGCTTTATTGCGCTTCGCAGATACTGTGTTTCTTACAAATTGCAGGTCAAGTAAATCTATCAGCACCATCTTTCCAACAGGCTCAGATGATGATTAGCATTTTTTAGCAACAAAGTATTTTTTACTTAAGATATGTACATTGTTTTCTTAGGTACAATGCTATTGCACACTTACTAGACTACAGTATAGTGTAAACATAACTTATATGCACTAGGAAACCAAAAAGCTCCTGCTTAATTGCAGTACTTGCTTTATGGCAGTGGTCTGGAACCGGACCCACAATATCTCCAAGGTGTGCCAGGAACAGGGCTCCAACTTACCCAGGGCAATCAAGGAAGGTGACCAGTGACCCAGGTTGTCAGGTGGAGTGAGTGATGATTGTCTGTGGAGCCCTTGAGGGCCTTCAGAGCCTGGCACAGAGTAGGTGCTTTCTGTGTTGGCTGATTGAATGAAAGAGCACTGGGTCCAAGAGGATCCTTGGGGGTAGTGGGAAAAGGACATGGTGGAGGCCTGAAGGCCAACTTTGTGGGCGAGGAGGGAGGCTGGCATCGCAGGGTTTTGAAATGAGCCAGCCAGACCTAGGTTTGTAGGTTTTCTCAGTCATGATCCTTCTGACAGCCTTTGGGAGAAGATAGGTGGTGGGGTCTAGAGGTAGAGACCAGAAGCCAGTGAGGAGGTGACTATCGTCATGGCAAGACCAGAAGCCAGTGAGGAGGCGGCTATGGGCACGGTTCAGCTGAAAAAGGAAGTGGTCTCTGAGCAGAAGGATGGTCAAGTCTCTGAGTTTGTGTTCTCATGCCCCTGCCTCCAGGAAGCCTTCCCTGATTTCCTTTCTCTTCCTCTAGGACCTCCACTCTGCTAGTGGTGGTCCTGAAGCTCCATTCAGGACCAGAATCTGAGACGCTAAACTCCAAGGCTGTCAGGTTAGAAGGTACCTTAGGCTTGGTGGAGGTTTGGCATGTTGGGAAACTGAGGCCAGAGAAAGGGCACGGCAGTGAGTGTGAGTGGGTGGCAGAACTGGAACTGGATCCCCGGGCTCCTGCTTCCCTGAGGTGTGGGGTTCTCCCAGCTCCACTCCCCTTTCCAGCAGGGAGGAGGCTCCACCAGTGCTGGCTGCCAAGGCCCCGGGAAAACACATTTTTTCCCTCTGTCCTCACAGAGGAAGCGAAATGGCTCAGCAGCCAGAGAGGAGCCCATGCCAGGGGGCAGGCCGTCTGCAGGATGTCCCTAGAGTGGAGAGGGGAAAGGAGGGGAGGGGACTGCAGGAGGCTGTGGCTGCAGACTGGGCAGGGCAGCCGTCAATCCCCCAAGAGTAAATTCATTCTCCATGCCTCCAAAAGAATGGTAGGAACCTGCAGCCCCTGGAGGTTGCTCTCTGGCCTCTGAGGGAAAAAGCAGGGCGGGGGGGCGCTGACATTGAAGAAAGAGCCCTGAGCTAGGGGTCAGGACTCCTGGGTTCCAGCCCACCACTGCCTTCAAAAAGCTGCTCAGTTGTCTGTGACAGAACACGGGGGTTGGACCAGCCCCTGTCTGAGGCCCGTACTGGAGGCAGCCCGGTGGAGGGCCCAGCCCCGTGGCGTACAGCCCAGCAGCCCCTGGCCTGGGCTGAAGTCTGAAAGCCTGAGGTTGTCAGAAAGTTCCCCCTTCTTGTGACTTTCTCTGTGATTGCCTGGCGTTGCTGAGCTAGGGACATTCCTGGGCAAACATGAGTGCCTCAGCTGACATCCAGGATGTGGGTGAGGGGGCCGAGGCTAGAACAAGAGAAGGAGGAATGGAGAGAACAGGTTCAGAGCCTCCCTAGGACCTACAAGGACTCAGAATCCCAGCCAGCCCTGTGGGTGGGGCCTCCAGTCATACAGAATAGGGACTGGCCAAGTTTCCACCTCTCGGGCTTCCTTCAGAGGGCTGTGTTGAGAGTGGAGAGTCCAAGCTCAGTGGGAAGCAGTGCTGTGGGCGATGGGCGATGGCTGTGTTGAGAGTGGAGGGAGGGATGATGGAGAGATAAGCAAACCATTCGCCACTGCTGATCTTGTCTCAGCCTCTAATGCTATTAGAATCATCCCCACTTTACAAGTGAGGGACCCAAGGCCCAGAGAGGAAAAATGCTTGTCTGAGGGACCAGTCTCCAAGGTTCTGCATCAGCCTTAGCACCCAGTGCTCAGCACCCAGCACCCAGCAGGCTCAGTTAACCTACGTAGGGGAGGCTTGCCGTCTCCCACAGGTCTCTCTGTAGAGCCCAGACTGCGCATCGCCTAACACCCACCTCCCCCAGCAGCTGGCACGGCGGCCTGGCTGTCTGTATTCATCTGCACAAACCCAGGCACATCAGAGCAGGGTGGCCGTGGAGACAGAGGTGGGGGAACACAGAGAGGTGCCCTGGGAGGCCATCTCGGGAGGAGGCATGTGGCTCAGCGTGGCCTCAGTCCTGGGCGCCACCCTGGACTGCTCTGTTGACCTCTCCGGTCATTATCTCACAGGGTTGTTGGGAGGGTCGGGGTGATGACAGCGTGAAAGGGACCAGGATTCAGTGTTCAGTATCCTCCTGATTTGGGGGGAGAAGCAGCCACTCCCCTGCTGTGTGACTTCAGGCAAAAGATGTCTTCTCTGGGTCTCCCCCTCCACTTGGGTAAAGTGAGGAGGGGGAGCCTTTTCTGTGCGACCCCAGCCAGCGGGGAGATGCTGTGGAAGCGAGGGCCCAGTGACTGCTGCAGGCCTGACCCCTCCTGGACAGACTCAGCTATTCTCATAACCTCCCCCATGCTCACTGACACCTGCCCTTGGCGCCACCAAAACTCTGAGAGCAGGTATTGTTCTTACAGATGAGGAAGTGGAGACCAGAGAGGTGGGGTAGCTTGCTCAAGGTCACACAGCCTGGAAAAGGAGACGGGGCTCAAACCGGAGCTTGACTTTTAATCTAGTGCCCCTCTCCTTGCTTCCCATGCCCGTCCTGGGGCCACGCATCATGAGGACAGAACCCCTGCTCCTCCTTCCCCCTCCTCCTGGCGTCTGTGTACCAGCCCTGCCATGCAGAAGCAGGAGGCAGATGAAAAGGAGGAAGAATTGGAGACGGGGCCAGAAGGTTTTTCTCTCAATGGTACTCAGCTGGACAAGCCAGATGCTGGACAGTGTCAGAGACTGCACCCATCCACACCTCGTGGGTGCCTGCTCCCTGCCAGGCCCCGTGCTGGCGACATCAGCACCCAGAGCTGCCTCGGCCTGGTTCCTGCCTGTGGAGCTCCCTGTCTGGTGGGCAGACAAGGAAATAGACCATTACAACGCAAGGGAGAAGTGCTGGGGTGGTCAGTGCCTAACAAGTCCTAGGAATCAGGGGGGGCTTCCCGGAGGAGGAGATGTCTACACCCAGAGCCGAGTGATGAGTAGGCGTCTGCCAGATAAAGCGAGGGGAGTAGTGTCACAGGGTGTGGGGCGGCACATGGGCCAGAAAGCGTGGGGTGAGAGGAAGTAAAAAGTTCCACGTGGCTGGAATGCAGAACGGAGGTGGGCAGTGGTGGGGAGTGAGCCTGGACCCTGTCCCCAGGATAGTAGGGAGCCATGGAAGGTCTGCATGTGGGTGATGACAGGCCGGATTCACAGGTGGAAAGATCCGCTGATAGTGTGTGGAGGACGAGCGGACATGCCAGGACCTCCCTAGGTGTGTGTTGGGGAAGGTGGACTTTTACGAGGCCTGTATTTTGGTCGGGGTGGTTATGAGGGTCTCCAGGTGGTGTCTGTGGCAGGTTAGGGTCCTGACTGGGGACGTTCTGGGCCTCAGTTTCCCCCAGCTGTACCACAGGGAGCCTGGGTGCTCCTGAAGACCTCCTCGCCCGAGGGCCTGGGTGGCTGCCTGTCAGGGGATCTCTTGAAGAGCCGACTTCCCTTTCCTGCCCCACTCCTCGCTTCCCTCTGGGTGGCAGGTCCCCTGGCTGCGTGGGCCGGGAGGGGCCGGGGATTTCTGAGAAGCCCTGGACTGTCCCCACCTCGGCCTGAGTCACGCTGAGAACTCAGCAGCCGCCGAGCTTCTGCTCTGGGCACTGGGGACACGGCAGTGGGCGAGACAAGGTCTGCGCTGTCCTGTGCTGGCATTCCAATGGGGAGACAGACACTGGACAGACAGGTGAAATGCATGTGCAGTAATGATATATCTGAGAAGTGCTGTAGAGGGATATGAGGTCGGGAAGGGAGACGGGGAAAGTGTGTGTGTGTGTGTGTGTGTGTGTGTGTGTGTCAGGGACTGGGGATTCTAAGTTGAGCAAGAGCACGAAGAGCGACCTGCAGGAGTGAAGAAGCCAAGTCTGTGGCTATTTAGGGGAAGAGGATGCTGGGCGGATGGACCGCTGTGCTCGAGCCCCAGGGCGGTGTGTGCGGTCGGTTTAAGGAGGCGGGAGCAGAGGGAGGCAAGGGGCGTGGAGCGGGAGCTGAAGTCAGAGAGGCATTTGCTGAGCCCCCATCCTGTGGTGCCTGTGAGCCACTGTGATGATGTGGGCTATAATCGGAGTAGGATGGGGACCACGGGGGGCTTGAGAGGAGTAACATGATCTGACTTAGTACACAGCCACTGTATCACCAGGGAGACCCCGAGGCACAGGGAGGCTAACTGATGTGCCAGACCCGCGGCCAGTAAGTCGGACACCCTCCGAAGGCCCCGTGTGTCTTGTGCCGAAGTCCGTGCACTGGCCACTTCTCCGCAGGGCCTCTGAGACACCTGGGCCCGCAGAATGGGCCAGACTCAGCCCCAGGCAGCTCAGGGAGCCAAGGCTGGACCCGGGCCTCACCCCTGCTTCACTCTGTCAGACTGGGGGTCACTCTGAGAACCGACAGGAGGCTGGGCTCAGACCCCCCTCCGCCCTGCTCTCCTTTGCTCCTCACTGTCGCATTCGCACGGGGATTATCGGATGAGAAAACCAGCGAAGAATGAATGGGGAGAAGGGCACAGTGGCCGTGGATAGAGGACGCTGCTCTAAAGGGAACTTGGGGAGGCCGCCCCTTTCCCCGCCCAGAGCAATGACCACTGGCCCGTCGAATGTGAAATGTCACTGACTAGTACACATGTGTTCTGTGTGCTTTTCTGTATGCAGTTTGTACTTTAATGAAAACATATTTTTAAATATATGTTTATTGATTAGAGAGAGGGAGAGATAGAAACATCAATGATGAAAAAGAATCATTGATTGGCTGCCTCCTGCACACCCTATACTGGGGATCAAGCCCACAACTTGGAATCGAACCCTGACCTTCTGGTTCATAGGTTGATGCTCAACCACTGAGCCGTGCCAGCTGGGAAATGAAAATACTTCTTAATAAAACAAGATACATCTGTCTGGGCTCCATGTGGGAGAATTGCTGGGGAAGAGGGAGCCCGTTCACGTGGCGCATATTCACTGAGAACGGACCATGCGCCAGGCACTGACTTAGGCATCTGGAGGCAGCGGGAGGGCAGGCAAGGCCTTGACCCTTGTAGACTTACATTTTGGTGGAGAAGAGGTGGGAGGGAGAGAGACAAACCATAAACAAGTCATCAAACATAAAATAATTGCAGAACAGGTGACTGTTATGAGGGTTGGTCAATGGGGTGATTTAGCCAGATAGTTAGACTTCTTTGAAGAGGTGGCACTGAGCAAAGATATACCTGCTGAAGAGATGCTATGAGGAAATAAAGGGAAGGGAGTGGCGAGTGCAAAGGCCCTGGGGCTGAAATGAGCCGATCAAAGAGCCCGCTGTGGCTGGACCGCTGGGATGGAAGAAGGTGGAATGTGATGAGTCCAAGACAACAGGGGCCTTGAATGGCAAGGCAGTGAGTTAGGATTGTACGCGACAGGGAAAAAGTGACCTTGGCCTCCTCTCTCCCCTAGGTCTCGGCCCAGAGGGTACCTTCTGCAAACATGTCTGTGGACCCCTTATCCAGCAAAGCCCTGAAGGTGAGGAGGCAGCCCCTGTAGTCCCACCCCTCCCTCCCTCCCCAGCCAACTTCCCCTTCAGTACCCGGCACCCCCACAGCAGCTCAGCAGGCACGAGGCATTCCTGGGGCCGTGGCTGGGAACCAGGAGGCTGTGTCCCCGGGGCAGGCCGTTTCCCTCTCCAGACGGCTTCCCCATCAGGGCAATGCCCACTGGGCCGCGGGACTTCGAAGGTGCTTTCCTGGGTTTCTTACGATTCCTGCCCCTCTTTGGGGTCTCGGAACAAGTCCAGTACCTCAGTGCCTATGGCGGTGGAGGGGGCGCCGTCCCCAGCACCTGATGCGTGCCAGGCCCAGGGCTCAGGGCCCATAGGCAGGGGCGCGACCCTGGGCCTCAGTGTCCCCATACGCTCCCCCGCCCCCCGCGCTGCCCGCAGATCAAGCGTGAGCTGAGCGAGAACACGCCGCACCTGTCCGACGAGGCGCTGATGGGGCTGTCGGTGCGCGAGCTGAACCGGCACCTGCGCGGGCTCTCTGCCGAGGAGGTGACGCGGCTCAAGCAGCGGCGCCGCACGCTCAAGAACCGCGGCTACGCCGCCAGCTGCCGCGTGAAGCGCGTGTGCCAGAAGGAGGAGCTGCAGAAGCAGAAGTCGGAGCTGGAGCGCGAGGTGGACAAGCTGGCGCGCGAGAACGCGGCCATGCGCCTGGAGCTCGACGCGCTGCGCGGCAAGTGCGAGGCGCTGCAGGGCTTCGCGCGCTCCGTCGCCGCCTCCCGCGGGCCCTCGGCGCTCGTGGCGCCCGCCCAGCGTCATCACCATCGTCAAGTCGGCTCGGAGCCCCGCTCCCGGTCCCGCCCGAGGTCTCGCGCCTGCCCCCGCGCCTGCCTATGCTTCTAAGTGTCCGGTTGCGCCCTTTCCGTGATAACGCTCGGTTTCCAAACTGGGCCCCCTCGACCCGGTTTCTGTCTCAAAGTCTCTAGGGACGAACTTCTGTTGCCAGTGCTTTTTTTTCGTAGGAATCAACGCCC